AGCCGGGGGTCGGGGCGGCCCGGCCGAGGACGCGTCCCCGCTCCTCGGCCCCTCGTGAACAGCCCTCGCGCTCGGTTTTCTCTCCTGCGGAACTTGCATTGTAACCGCCAGTCCGTTAGCCGATGCGGACTTGATATGCCCCAACTGTAAAAGTAGAACATGGATCATCCCACAGCTCTGAGCGCAGCGGACAGGTCAGTCCCGGGAAGGCAGGTACCTTCCCCATCGCGCCTCCTCAGGCGAGCCCGGGGTGGGGGAGCGGGGCGTCCCCCTCCTTGCACAGACGAGGGACAGCGCTAACGCCATTCCCAGCGCGCTCGTCAGTGACACAGCATGTCCAGGACCCTTGGCCGACAGCAGAGGAGGCAGCCCTGGCAGAGTTTGGTTTAGACAGCTGGAAAGGCTTACGCCCACCCCCCAAAATAGCCTTCTGATCTTGGTATCCCTCTTGAAAGAGTCCTGCTGTGTAAATGTGAATTGGCTGGCCAGGGGAGTCGTTTACACCCTAGACTTTCTGTTGCAATGAAGGGGGCTGGAGGAGGGCTGAGCCCTGGAGGGCTTCAGGGAGGTGAGGGAAGGGAAGGCAAGGGGGCGGGGGCTATGCAGGGAGGCCCCTGGGGTAAAAAAAGGTCAGAGACTTTGTTTGCACGGAATCTTCCCAGGGTCTTTGCCCTGGTCAGGAGAGGAGGGGTCCCTCTTCCCGGTGGTCTGGTCTGGTCTGGTCTGAGAGTTCCCTCCTTGCCTGCTGTCTGAGGTTGCCCTGTGTACCAACTGCCTTCGTGTGCTCAGGACTTCATGTGCTCACCTGTGTCATGCGAAAATCTCAAAAATGGCCTATAATGTTGACTTGGAGAGCAGTGAAAATAGTCCTTTTCACCCATCCATCCAACTGTCCATCCAAGACACGTTTATTGAGGACCTTCTATTGACCGGATCCCGTTGGGGGCCGGGGATACCTCAGTGAACAGCGAGTCAGACGTAGCCAATGTCACCCCAGGGTTTGGTGGTTGGTATTGACTTTGACCCCAGGGACAGTCAGGACCTGTGGGGTCTGGGCCATGATTTCTTGTGAGAGTGGGAGATGGAATGAGAGGTTGGTTTCAGTTGGAAAAAGGAGGAGACTGGACAGCCCCTTCCACTGCAGAGGGTTGGCCTGTGGGAGAAACACTGGCTTTGCCCTAAACGCAGGGCTTCTTTCTATGCCCATGTGTGCTCCTGGCTTGTTATTTAGTGTGTTAAAGCTTCACTGCTCTCCTGGGGTAATTAGTGTTGTCTTTGGAGAAGCTGGTTGGAAAAACACAAATTTGGAATTGTCTTTGGAGCCCCAGCCTTGAGCTGGACCAGTGTGTTAAAATGAAACCAGCAAAGGGAGTCCTGGAGGAGAACTCTGCACAAGCCCCTCAGCTCCCATTTACCTGTTGATTATCGCCCATGCTTTCTGCATCTTACCCACCCCCACTTTGAGCTTTCCCCCCACAGTAACTGTGATTACGGGGTAATTACAGGGTGTGGTTAAGACCTTGGGTCGTCAGTAGTTTGCATCCCCCAGCCGCGTCTTGGAAACCCTATGGGGCAGTTCTACTCTGCCTCTAGGGTCATAATGAGTCGGAATCAACTCATTGTCAACAGGTTTGGTTTGGTTTTTGGTATAGGGTGGTGCAAACGGAAGTGTACCCAGATGTGCCTTAGAAGAAAGGCCTGTCACTCTACTTGTGAAAACTCTATGGAGCATTGAAAACCCTGTTTAGCAGAGCTCTACAGTGACACGTGGGGTTGCCATGAGTCGAAGTCGACTTGAGGGAAAGTGGTTGGTGTTGCATAACGACTGGGGGAGGGCTGGGATGGCAGCTCGGGGGCATTCCCAGGCTCGACGCCTGCCTGCTGGTCTGCTGCAGGTCTGCTTGTGGAATCAATGTGCGAGACCCCGTGTTTGTGGACCTTTGCTGCCCTGCGCACCTGCCTGTCGCCTTCACCTTACCTTTGCTAATAGACTCTCAGGTCCTGGAGGGCAACGACACTGATCTGTTGCCGAGTCTTGTATGCAGCAGGTCCTCACAAGAGATCTGAGTATAAAAAGTAACTTCAGTACCTGCAAAGGGTCCATGGTGGAGTGGTGTGCTTCATAACCGTACGCTTGGTCTCGTGCTAGGATACCATGGCGGGTTGAGATTTGAGCTCATGCTTGTATGCACCTCTCTGGTTCTTTTGACAAAACCCTTCATTCATCCAGAATCTATTTGAGCTCTAGTGTAAGGTGAAGAACAAAATTATTTCCAAGCGCCTGTCTAATTGTACATATTTGTTGAGTGCTCTTCCGTCCTCACTGACTTTGTGACCCATTTATTAGACGTTAAGTTAGTTATACCGAAGTCTTTCCTGGGCAGTTAATTTCAGCATGGTTTATTTATCTTTTTCTTCTGATGAGAGAGGAGTTTTATTGTTAGTTACTTCTTACTACTCTTACAGAAGAAACAAAAACCTAGTCTCATTTATATTTCTAAATAAACTTTAGAGTATTTTTGTCACATCTGAGATCACAATCCCAAAGAGAGTTGTTAAACCTCTTTATTTATTTGATAACACATTGAAATTTTTCTAATACTGAATCTTGTCATCCACGTAAATAGTATGGCTTTTCCGTTCATTCTAGTCTTCATTGTTTCTCAGTTGTATAGCCTCCATTATGTTGGTGTTGTTGGTAGCTGCCCCACCCCGTGGCGAGCCCATGCACAAAGGACTGAAACACTGCCCGGTCCTCCGCCTTCCCCGTGACCAGTCGCCGATCAGACTGTTGTGCTCCAGAGGGTTTTTGTTGGCTGATTTTCGGAAGTAGATTGCCAGGCCTTTCTTCCTAGTCACCTAGTCTGAGTCTTAATCTAGCCTTAGAGCACCATGCAGGCCTCCGTTGACGGATGGTGGCTGCGCATGAGGTGCGTTGGCTGGGAATTGAACCTGGGTCTCCCGCATGGAGGGCGATAGTTCTACCGCTGGACCACCGATGCCGCCACCTTCATTATAGAGGACTGGCTTTATATTGATGGACATCTTACTTTTCCTTTGTACTGAGGTCTAACTTGTACAGTAAAGTGTCTTACTTGCAGTGTATAGCCCGATGGCTGCGACGTGGGTGGACCCCAGCCGGCATGGTCGAGAGTCATCATGTTGCCAGTAGCAGCGTGTGCTGGGCTGTGGGATTTTGTCACATGTCTTTTTGTAGTAGAGGAGATGGCTGTATGGTTTCCCCAAGACATTCCGTATTCTTGGGATAAATTAATGTTATGATGGATTTTTTGGTTATATATTTTTTCATTTCAGTTTGCTAGTGTTTTATGGAGGATCTTGCTTCTATATTGAGTTGGTTTGGTTCATTTCTCCCTACCCCCACCTTTTTAAAAGTTATTTTTGTCAAGATTGATGCCAGGAATGGCTGGCTTCGTAAGGGAAGCGTCTGGCTTTTTCTGTGCTCTGGAGGTTTCCGTAGCACGGGGCTGATTTGTTTCTTGAGCGTGACACCCCCTCCTGGTTGACCCCGGGAGGTGCCCCGAGCTGGTTGGCCCCGGCAGGTGCCCCGAGCTGGTTGGCCCCGGCAGGTGCCCCGAGCTG